CCAACATCAGCCGAACACTCGTCCAACATCAGCCGAACACTCGTCCAGCGTCGACTGAACACTTCTACACTTTGTCAAAAACAGTAAAAAATGATGTTTTTTAGCAAAGGGAATTAAAAAATAATCACTCCTGATGATGATTTAGTAAACAAAAATAAAAACAGGGTTCGACTTCCTGTTTCTGTCTTTCAGACGTAAAAGAGATCGCAGCGAGATTCGAAGCTGGAAGATTTATTTTTGTTTTTACCGGAGAGGTGAAGTCATCTCCTCCAAACCGGCAGTCAAAGCAGAACAAAGGTCAAAGTTTCTGAGGTCTTTGGATTTTTCTCTTACATAATCTGTAAACTTGGTCTCAAGTCCCGGCTGGAAACTGTATTTTTCCAGAACCGGTCGGACCAGAACCCGTCAACGTGTAAAAATCTGAACCATTCTGCTGCGAACACGATCAAAGTTCTCATTAATCACCGTTCGGTCTGTAGATGCAGCAGGAAATGTTGTGGAACTGGAACACGGCCCGCAGCGAACACAAACAGAACCGGTTCCAGAACCTGTGGACCCAGGTTACACACTGAGGCAAGACGGGAATGTCCGCAGCAGAAACCCGGGTTTGAAAAACAAAAAACACACTTCAGCGCCCGGATTGGTTTTTAACCTGAAACAGGTCTGAGCGGGGACCACAAAGACCCAAAAGCCATCAGGGTCCAAGTGTCCGAGCTAAAACCGACCAGCAGAACCAAACAGGAAGTCCAGATTTAGATCAGAGCTCACCTAGAAGCTGTACTTTGAATCTTAACCCGATTCAAGATGGCCGCCACAGATGGCTGCAGCTCGGTCAGATTTATAACCAGCTAAAGTTTGGTGGTAGTAGCCGAGAGTCATCCACAACACGTGCCGTCAACGAGCCGAGAGGCAGCGGGCGACGTGCATTCACGAAGGAACGTTGAGCCTTCAGTGGTCGTGTTCAGAGAAACGCAGACAGAACCGGAACGTTTCCCGTTGGATCTGCTCCTGAACCGTTTCCTCTGCTGCTAAAAATAAACCGACCCGCCGGATCAGGTTCTGCTCACAGTCTGTGAGCTGCGAGAGCTTCAGGTGCTACTTTTATACCGGCGGCGTGTGGCTGGAGCTGCGCTGCCTCCGAACGGGGAGACGTGGCGGCGGAACGTGGAGCGGACCGGGTCGGAGCTTCAGGAGAGCAGATCAGAACCTGCTGGCGTCTGAACAGGAAGTCCTGCGTGTTTAATAATTTAAACTCCACGTTAAAAACATGTTTACAACAACAACCGGCTTTAAAGCTCTGTTTTCCTGAGCACAGTGAACACAACACAATATAAAGGTGCTCTGTGATCGTTTTTCTGCCGGCGGGTCTTGAATCACCCGCCGCCGCTCAACTCACGTCGTGTGAGAAACGACGCACGTTCTGGTCAGAACCAATAAATAAAAACTTTTTAAAGACATGACGCTCGACCTCGGTGTGTGTTGGGGGTCAGTCTCAGCTACTACCACGCCAAATTTTAGCTGCACATCTGTAAAACTGAGCTGAAGCCATGTTTGTGTTTGCTATGTTCAGCTAGGTGCGGTGGCCATTTTGGTTCGTCCAATTATCACCACGAAGAGTTCCTCAGATTTTAATACTTTTACTTTTCAGCTAGCCTTTTGCAACTTTTAACTATCATTCTGATTCTTCTGCTTTTAGCTGGGCTTTTGCGTTTTAGCATATGTGCTGCTTTCGAGTTAGCCTTTTGCTACCTTTAGCTAGTCTGTTACTACTATTAGCTTTAAACTAGTATTTTGAGAGCTTTAGCTATTGTTTTGCTACTTTAGTTTAAACAAAAAGCTATTTTAACGAGCCTTTCCATACTTTTAGCTATCCTTCAGCTTTTACAAGCTTTTTATTTTTTAAGCTAACCAAATGCTGCTTAATGCTGCTATTGTGCCACGTTTAGATGTTACTAACCTTTAGCTACTAATAGCTAGTCTGTTGTTACCATTAGCTTTTTGCTAGCCCTTTGATATTTTTAGCTTTTGTTCTGCTGCATAAGCTGGCTTTTTGATCAATTCAGTTTGCCTTTTACAAGTTTTGGCTAGTATGTTATTAATTTTAGCTTCTAGCTATCCCTTTTATACTTTTAGTTAGGCTTTAGCTACTTATAGCTAGCCTACTGCCAATTTTAGCTTTTAACTAGCCTTCTGATATGTCTAGCTATCCTTCCATTACTTCTGCTTTTAGTTAAGGTTTTGATATTTAAAGTCAAACATTTACAGCCTAAATCTACCATTTAGCTACTTTCATCTTGGATTTAGCTAATTTTAGCTACTGTACTGCTACTTAAGCATTTATTGAAACTTTTAATTAGTTTCACTACTTTATTCCAACTAGCATTTAGACACTTTTAGCTATTATTTCACTACTTTAGCTTTTACCAACTTCTAGTACTTTTATCTAGGTTTTGTTATTTTTAGGCTTTTGCTAGTTTTAGCTTTCAGCTAGGAGTTCCTCCAAGTTTTATTGTTTTTTTTTTTTTACTTTTCGCCTTCAGCTAGCTTTTTGCTGATGAACTCTTACCATTTTTCTGCTTTTAGCTTTAAGCTAACCCTTTGCACTTTTAGTTTTATTCGATATTTTGCATTATTTGCGCGTTTTCAGGAAAACCGTTTGTTTCGTTTCATGCTAACAGTTAGCGACAGCAGCCTGCTTTGACGCGGACACAGAATGGTGCACAACACCGCCTCGTTAGAAACAGGCTCCGAGGTGTTGTGCTCTGAAAAGTTACAGATTAAAACGAAATGTTTCAATGAGCCGACCGACCTGAAGTCTCGCAACAAAAGCCTCTTCCGTGCTGGAAACCGAACCTGGAGGCCGCGGATCACCAGGCAACCGAAAAACACGCAGAACCCCGAACCGAACCTGAGCGTGAGACCCGAACAGATCCAGGGAAACGGAACCAGCAGCTCCACAAAGGAGACCCACTTGTCATCTGGGCTAAAAATAAACCTGACAGACCGGGAGGGACACGTCCGAACCGGGCCGGCTTCACGGTTCTCTGGACTCTCAGAACCGGTTTCGTTTGGGTTACAGATCAGTTTCTCAGTAGAACCAGACCGGACTGAGAAGGGGGCTGCCAGGTGACCCAGCGGACCCTCAAGCCCCGCCTGAGGGAGCTTCCTGCCCGAACCCGCCTCCCTCAGACCGAACCGAACCGGACCTTCGGCAGCGGAGCGTCTGCGGCGCGGAGGCCGGGTCAGAGCGCCCCTCCGCCGGGAACAGAGGCTGTGCTCACCCGTCGGGAGGACCGAGGCTCCGGGCTTCTTGGTTAACATGGCGGCCGCTCCTCTCCTCTGCTCCCCGACGAGCAGGACACCTCCTCTTCCTCCATCCTCAGCTCCTCCTCTTCCTCCTCCTGCGCCTCCTCCTGGTGTCTCTTTAAAGCCGGTTTCTAAAACCTTAAAGAGCAGTTCGGATGTTTTAAAGTGGGGGTCAGTGCAGGGCCGTTTCCAGGAGGTTTTTAAAGAGGGGGCCACCAAGGTCCGGGGAAGTGGGGGTGCAGAGGGTGCCGTGGCAACAATTAATAAAACGAGATTTAATTTGAGTTTAACAAATTTAAATCCCAATAATCGTTTATTAATTTGGAGTTTTGTAATCTGGTGTGTACAAAATGTTACAGCTGCTTAAAACACGTACAGGTGGGCAGATTAGGATTAGAATGTGGAAGCAGTTTTATAGATATTGTCTGTCTACATTTATTCTCCATCCTCTACCGTTTATCTGTGCTCCGGTTGTGGAGAGAGCAGACCCTGGAGGGAAACCCAGACCTCCCTCTCCCTGGAGACACTCTTCAGCTCCTCCTGGGACTCCCCGAGGAGCTCCCAGACCAGTGAGAATATATAATCCCTCCAGAGAGTTCTGGGTCTGCCCTGGGAGTCTCTTCCCAGTGGGACATAACCGGAGAACTTCTAAAAAAAAAGGTGTCCAGGAGGGATCCTCATAAATTGAAGCACCTCAGCTAAATCTTTAGCTGGCTCCACTGCGAGCTCCCCCCTCTTAAGGCTGAGCCCCCCCAATCTTACGAATGAAGCTCATTTCATACTTGGATCCAGGATCTGGTTTTTTGGCTCCTGATCTAAACCTCAAAACCACAGGTGAGGGTTGGAACATTAAATGGCCGGTAAACCGAGAGCTTTGCATTTTGATTAAACCATTTTCACCATGACAGACTGGAGCAACGTCCTCAATACTGAAGGCAAGGCCCCGTACCGTTGATCCCGCTCCATCCTGGGATTTACCTGTCTAAATAAAGATTGACTGAATCCTACCGTCGACAGGAACAAGACGCCCAAATACCTGAACTATTTAATATATCTAAAAATAATAAAGAAAAGTTGCTTCTCTACGGTCATTGCTGTTGATTTTCCATCCTGGCATTGTGCTAACACACCGGTACGCTCCAGTTTGTTGAAAGATCAAACAAACACCACTGATGACATCTGATTTAGTGCTTAAAGGAACACTCAGACATGTAAAGCTAGTAAAGGTGTCGCCCTCACCTCATGTGTCGGGACGACTGCAGCTTTGTTCCCAATCCTTCTGGACTGACGCTCGTGCCAAGTCTTCTTCTCAGTTTTGTCTGCAGTCGTCCACACGAGGACGTCTTCGCTTCACCCAGCGCGTAAATGTTTACATTAAAGCTGCCTGGAGACCAAGAACACGTTGACATCCCAGACAGAGGGATGATGTTTCTGTTAACAAGAAGGTTTCTTCGCTCGCCGTGTGTGAGTGATCTCAGGTTTCACAGTTAAATTACCACGAGGAGCATTCTGCGCCCACAGAGCTCAAATAACTCACACACAAAGAAAACACTCGCCTGAGTTCAACCGTGAAGCTTGTGAAAAGGATTATTTTAACAAATAATCAGGGAAAAGATAAAAAAATAAAAGATCTTCTGTTAGAAAACCTTAAACCTGCAATATTTTAAAAATTTTCATTAAAATACTTATTTGATTTACAAAATAGTTTAAGCTTCACCTTTAGTTAAGTGCTAGATGTGTTTTTTTTTATCTCAGACTTTGATAACTGTTGTATTTAGACAACATATATTAGTTTTCTTTTGACAACTTATTTAATAAAATAAATAAAAAAACACCTTAACCCACAGGAAAATTTAGAAATGTTAATTTAAAACGAGATTAAAAAAACAACTCGAGTCAAATTGTTAATAAAATAATGTTAGGATAAGTTCTGACTGCCATCTAGCGGCTGAATTGAGTCACTACATATCCAATTAGGCTTTTATTTTTGAGCGTAAAGCCGACCGGAAGCCATTTTAAATCCAGACTTTATTTTGAAGTTGACAGGAAGCTGTCGCAGCAGTGACAGGCGTGAGCTTCATACAACTGTAGGATGGCGGCTGGACGAGGTGAGTTCTTCCGAAGTTTTCTTGAGGGTTTACAGGGGCTGACGGTACAACCGGCTCCATGGGGGCAACAGCCGAGTCGTGGGAGAGGAAGGCCGGGTCCCGGTGGAGCATTGACGGCTCAGGGGAGAGGACGTGGGGGCGGCAGGAGACGGAAGAAGCGAACAAATGTGGAACTGAGGACCGCCAGCGCGACTGAGCCCAGGTGACAGTAGACTCTTTAATATTTATATACTTTTAAATTAATGTGATTTAATTTGGATGTCTTGTTTTTAGAGACCGTCACAGCGGCGTGACGTCATTCTTTCCTGAAACAAAATTGCCGCTTTTCAAGGAAAACGTTTTGGAAAGGTAAGCTAGCTAGTTAGCTCTTTTTGAGGCGGGACATACTGGTTCTCTGTGATTGGTTGATTCATTAAACACTGCGCTGTGATTGGTTGTTTCATTAAACACTGCGCTGTGATTGGTTGTTTCATTAAACACTGCGCTGTGATTGGTTGTTCTGTCCTCTGTTTACCTCATTGATTGATCTTTTTTTTTAAATTGAATATTGAAACATTAACACAAAATGACTTATTCACAACAACAATTCTATAACAAACATACAGAAATATACACATCTATTGTATTCAAATAATTTGGGTAACAGAGGTTGAGCATAGTATGAAATAAAAATAAATGTTGGGGGTTACTATCTGAAACTCTTCCATTAACTCGTACAATTTTACTGCGTTTGTTATGAATCTTACTCGACATGTTTTGAACAAGGAGAGTTCATTTTTGAGAGCAGGGAATGAGATGGGGCATTTTGCAAATCGACATTTACAATAATTACAACATTCACTAGAAATTCCACATGTTTTTCTGTGACAAATAAACCAAACAGAATATTTTGGAATGAGAAGAAATCAACATTCATGCTTTGGAGGACGGGAAGTTATGAAGCTGTTTCCATAACTTCTGAACTTCTCTACACTCAAACAACAACAGTTTGGTTGTTTCCGGCTGACTTCTACAAACAACAGTTCAACATCAAACTTAAATCTCTCTCTTATGAACTCATTTGAAGAATATATGTTGTTTAATAATTTAAAATGAAGTTCTTTATATTTAGGAGGAACTGGAAATTGTAAATACTTTGTCCTAATTTTAAATATTATAGATTTGTCAAAGTTTTTTAAGGCGGCAGTGCTTTTGCTTCTTCCTGGGCACATGTTTACAGAATATTGGTTCAAAAACCCGTTGCTGCATTTTTTATCTACAATAATCAATTTGAATTTTATGTAATCTTGGTATTGTGATATAAGATAAATAATTTTTCACAGACTGAATAAAAACATCAGGTATATCACATATTACTTTATTGTAATTTGTTTTTGAACAGTCTCATTGATTGAGCTGCAGAATACTGTGCAGCACAGAAATCTTAATTGTTTAAAAGTATTTTTGGTGTAAATTCGCTTTAAATAAACCTTTAAAATTCTTAAATATTGACTTCCAATTGAAAGCTGAAAGTGATTGAGTTGTATTTGAACTTGTCTAAATATAATCTTAGTAAAAATGTAGGCAACAGTCTGAGGGCTCCACTTTGTGTGAAAATAATAATTTATTTGAATAATTAAAGAAATTCAGTTTTTTGTGTGGCACATTTTGGGACAGCCCAGGCCAGCTGATGAACACAAACCTGATGTTTGTCCTCTCCAGGCTCCCGTCTGAGATTCTGATGCGGATCCTGTCGTTCCTGGACGCCTCCTCGTTGTTTTGCGTCAGTCACGTGAGCCGACTCCTCCATCGACTCTCCAACGACGAGTGAGTCGCCGCAGATCGTCCGTCAGGAGGGAAGAGTTTCCGTCGACGCTTCAACGAGCGTCGCTGTAAAAAACTGTCGCTGCAGAGTTCACGCTAAGTTTCACGTCCGCTCCGTTTATCTGGATATAAACCTGGTTTTAATCACGCAAAAAGGTTTTTAAACGCCATCATTTTGGCCTTCATGTCAAAAAGTTAAACAAAAAACATATCTTTAACAAGAAAACTAGTTGCCAACATTTTATTTTAAATAGACAATATAAAGAGAAAATGTTTATATTGTCGCTGATCGCGTTTATTTTACAAGTCGTCAAATAAAAAAGTAAAAAGTCTTCAAAATTTGAAATATTTTAAGAAATGTGTAAATTTTTTCACAATTATAAGAATTGGTTAAACTCAGATGATATAAAACCAATTAGAAAAATAATTTTCTTGTTACTCATTAAATGCAAAAAGCCACTAAATTATTTTGTTTTATTTTAATTGTTACAGTTTATCAAACACGAAGAGACTTTTTTTTCATATTTGAATAATTTTTTTCTAGTTTGTAACTTAAAAAATAAACACATGCTTGTGACTAAGTTTCCATTAAACTAATTGTGTTTCATTCAGCGTCTACGCCTGATTGGTAAAGTATTTTTTAATCTGAAAGAAGTCGTGACTTAATATTCTACTCATCTATGGTTTGAATTCAACAAAATATTCAAAATAAGACGAACTGCATTTAATAAGGACACAAGCACGTTTTTACTCTGATCGTTTTGGTCGAGGTGCTCACAGGATGGCAGTGACTCTGCGCTACGTGCAAAATAAACAACGGACATTTAAAACGGTATAAAATATCAAAACAGGAAATGTGGAGGAACTCAGCAGAACGTTGTCAAAGTTCATCGGTTTTAAAAGTTACAAACATTTTTTACTTTCTGAGGCGTCCGACAGTAAAGACACTTATCGTGACTTCGCTCCGCGGTTGTTTAAAAAAACCAAACCGAAGATCCGATCCACGTTTTGTGTTCAGTTCTGATTTGACCCGCAGGAAGTTGAACTTGAGAACCGGGTCAGGAAGAACTCCTCATGCTCTGACCGTTTGTCGCCGCAGCGTCTTGTGGGAGAGGATTTATCTGGCGGAGTTCGGGTGTCTGACGTGGAAGCTGCAGTCGGCGGATGACGTCAAGGTGACGGAGGAGGAGGAGGAGGAGGAGGAGGAGCATCCGGTGAGCCGATGGAAGAAGATGTATTTCAAAATGATTGTCGGACAAGAGATGAAGAAGTGGAGGAGAGACCTGAAGGACCTGAGTCCGTACACCGGCCTGCCCAGACAGATGGACTGTGTCCTCAGGTACGGACTGTGTCCTCAGCTACTGGACTGTGTCCTCAGGTACAGACTGTGTCCTCAGGTACTGGACTGTGTCCTCAGGTACGGACTGTGTCCTCAGGTACGGACTGTGTCCTCAG